GGTGGGAGGAAATTTAACTTCAAAGTCTTTCAGCCTGAGAAAAGAAGATCGCTCTTAAGGAGATTGCAGAGGAGTACATAAAATTGTAGCATTCACCTCTGAATCACATACAATATTGTAAACCAATATTACCTCAATTAGAAAAAATGATATATAACAAAATAAATGCTAGCGATATTATGTAATGTGAGTATAAAACAGTGCTAAAACACAGTGCCAAAGATGGGGGACAGGTCACTGACAGTGGGTTCTCACCTGTGCACCAATTTCAAGACCACTCAGATTCAGGATCCAACAACAATAGGGTTAATTTAACAAACAGGAGCTTGGGGAAGAGGAAAGAGTTTCTAAAGCTGCAAGTCTTACCCCAGAGAGTGCCCACAGTGTCCAGAGATCCCAAACAAAGGCTTCTTGGGGAAGCCCATAGCAGCAGTTTTAAGGCTGGCTGCATCCCAGACTAGACAGCGATGGACTCACTATGAGGTGGTGCCAGAGAACAAGGCTCTGTAGAAAGCTTGTTGTGAGCTTTTGGCATACACAACAGTGAACAGCTCCTTGAGGCACTTGGCTGAGGCTAAGTGTTCCTTGCAAGTGATGTCAGAAGGCTGGAGGCAGGGGCAGCAGCCAAGTCTATGCAAAGGTCTATGGAGGTCTGGAGATCTGGTGAATCCCATGGAGATCATCCACCCAATGTGTCCTTCTTTTCAGAGTCTGTCTGCTGAATACTTCTTTGAAGGTGGTCCAGTGAATCCTTCTCTTTGGAGGTTGGCTGCTGACTGACTCAAGCTGGCTCTTGTTCTTCTACCTTATATCCTCTTCTGGACGTTCCACCTTACAATCCTGAATGGATCACTTCCAATCCTAAGCACCTGATTGTACTGTTTATCACCAATCAGCTCACTTTCAATTTTCAATCTGAATAATTTATTCAAAGTTGGTGACAGCTGGAAAGCTTGAACTGGGCTGGTCTATTTATGATCCTACATCCAGATATAAAATGGAAAAGCCTGGCCCCTTCCTAGATGGGCCTGCACAGAAGTCATGGCAGGCTTGTGGGCTGGAGGTCCTTGGTTTCAGGTAGAAAGAGCACACACATGAAAGTTCTCTGACAATTTGCTTTGTGCATCTGGCAAAGCAGTCCTTGGCTTTAGTCATGGATGACTGGAAGTAGGGTATTTCCTTTAAAAAGTCCTTAAACTTCTTTTCTTCATCTGACTCAAGAGATGGCTTATAAAAAAGGCAATTTTCAAGATAAGAATTTGAATTTGAATTGTATATAACTATAGAAAAATTTTATTTACCTGTGGAAAATTTCATGTGCAACTAACTTTAAATTGAAGTTAGATGATTTACTGTTACCACTACAGCTTTAATTGACAGTTTTTGTAAGACACTTGATGTAGTTCAGATATTTTTATTTATTTACTTATTTGCTATAGTAACCACAGAATTTTTTAATTGATATATTGTTCTAAATCATTATTTTTTATATTTTAAAAGTTATTTTTTTTCTTTTTTGATGAGCATTGCTTAAAGAAAGTAAATAAATTTAACAATACCATACATCTAACAAGTGTGTTTCTTCTCAGTTTGTAATATTCATATATTTTATTTATAAAAATAAAGTCTTGACCATGCTTGCTTCAAGGGGTACATAAGTTATTTTTTATTAATAAAGGAATCAAATGTATACTGACTACCTGCTATATACCAGGCAGAACATATATTCTATATAACTTAATTGAATTGAAATTGAGGCTAGGATTACTATTTCAATTTTAGATTTGAGGAAAATGAATCTCACAAAAAATAAGTAATTTGAGGGAGATTATAGAGATAGTATATGGGAGAACTGTAATTAAATAATGATATTAAATAAAGCTTACACATATACCACTTTGAGGACTAAGCCAAGAATTCAGAACTTGGCAGAGAACCTGTTTGATTCAAGATCTCATACTTTTCCCCACTCTAATAGTGCTAGTGTTACAAAAAGGAGACAACCTACTTTGATTCTCTTCCCCAAAATGGCATGACAGGATAGGATTAACTGGTTTGAAGGGGACTAGGAAGGAAGGCTTATTATTCAGAGCCAGACTAGCTCCAGTAAAATCCCCATCTCAAAGATCACAGTTTAAGTTATTTTCCTTAGGGTTTTTCTTTTGGTGTTTCCAGGTCTTTTCAAGTCCCATATTAAAACATCAGTTTTCACAGAATATGATGCTTTGAGTCAATATCAATAAAACCTTAAGGGATTTGTTGATCCAAACCATTCCCAGTGATGACAGATAACAGAGCTCATAGTTGCTCGGGATGAAGACAAAGGAGGAGTATAGGTTTTCCCATGGGAAGGCAAGTAAGAGGTAATGCCAGGAGAGCCAATAGTGGATATGAAACAGCAAATAATAAACTGCAATTATTTAGTTTTATCAAATTTCATCTGCTCAGGTCATAGACAGGTATCAAGGTATCTGACCTTTCAAAAAATATTAGTTTTCTTATATAATGTTGTCAATTTGTCTCAGGCTTGCTAAAAAGAATGTATACTCAGTTCAGTGTGTTCTTTTCTTGGAATTAGTGCTATCTCAAGTTCAAATGAATCCCAGTAGGAAGATCACAAATACACAACATTATAAATAACCCTAGGAGAATAGAGATTTGAATATTAATCAATTTAAGCATTATGAGACAGCAGGAGACTATTTTGGACAAGATGCATGACACTTTTAATGGCATGGCTCTTTGACAGCTCTTTAATTCCAGGAAGAAAGTTGGACAAGGAGTCAAGGAAGTTATAAGTCAAACCAAAATCTCAAATAAGTTGTCAAACCCCAAAGGCAGTCTTTAAATGGATGGACAGTGTGTCCAACATAGGGGCATATTGTGGTATCTCATTTGATTTTAAAGTGCTATACAACTATTTATTGGACAGCAATGATTTCAACTGGATTAATATTATGAAGATTTGACAAGAGAAAAGACAAGACTATAAAGATTTCCCCAAAGCATTTAGATAATATAATCAGAAAACAAAGAATAATTAAATGATAGCTTTTCATTTTATTGGCTCACCACTGGGCAATACATTGATAGATAATCTCTGTTGATAGCAAAATCCAAGTTCCTATTTATGTTATTCATTTAGCCATTTATTCCTTCACAAAGCATTAAAAATCAGCCCTACTGTATACTAAAGACTGTCCAGATCACTAGGGTTACAAAAATACTGGAAGATGAGACAGATGAGATTGAAAGCCAGACAAGAAATGCAGTTTAGTTCTTGGAGAAAGAGATAATGCATAGGTCAATAAAGGGAAGTAACTGAGTATCAGGGATATAAGATTAGAAACCAAGAAGTAACCAGGTGAAATGGTTGAGTTCTGGAGCTTCCTTAATAAACACTCAGCATCTATCTGATTGTACCTTTGAGTTCTCGCTTGCTTTGGTTGCTGGGCTCCATACTTGTGGAACTTGTACAATATTGTGCACCACACAGAATAAATTAGTTCTGTGATTCTAACTGTCACATATAAACTCTGCGTGTTAACCCCAGTAATTATCAAATGCTGTCAGAAATGTTGATCACTTTAACAGTAGAAATTTGATCATGCTAAAATCCCTGCTGAAAGATGATTCCAAAGCTTTCCAAGTACTTAGTATAAAATTCAAATAGCATCACCTATAAGGCCTAGGTGAACTAGTCCCTGACTATCTCCCAAATTTCATTCTCTAGCACTTTCTCCTGAGTCTCCCTTCTCCACTTGCCCTAGTCTCCCTTCAGTGGCTTAAACATATCCATACCTCTGTTTGGCTGTTCCTTCTGCCGGCATTTCCCATTCCCAGGTCCACCATACTCCTGACCAACCTCTATTCATCTTTGCAATTTGCATTCAAATGTCCCTTCCTTGAGGAAGTCTCTTCTGCCCACCAAATCTAAAATAAATCACTAGCCCCTCACCACTTTCCCTCATTACACTTTTTTTCCTTCATAGAACCTATTACAAATGGAAATTGTACGTATGTAATTCAATTATTTGACATAACACCTAGCATTTTAAGCAACACAAAGACAAAGGTAATGTTGTTTCCTATTTTTAATATAATTCCTGACTTAGAATTTTAAGTACCAGCTGAATGTTTTCTAAAAGAACGAATAAAAGATAATTATATATAATCTAGGAGAATATGGGTAATTAATTATTACATATTACATAATACACATAGGGCTTTGGGGTAACGATATTATTTTCAAACTGGAGTTTCTAGAGAAAGAGAACAAATACAGCCCTTGGTGGCAAACACCTCAACTAGATGACCTCCAACTACCCTCTGCCCTTTTACTTCTTTGGACCTCAGTTTCCCAAAATGTTCAATAAGTGGTTGGATGGCCTTTGTGATTTCTATATTAAAAATTGAAGAAAATAATCTATTCAAGTAGGAATTTTAGAAAAATATCCCAGTGAAGCACTAAGGATTTTAATGCTTAGCAGCCTCCAGCTGTACCAGTTTGCTGGGATGGTGTCTTCGGAGTCAGAAACCAGGTCCATCCACTTGCTTATCACTGTTCCCCTCACCTAAAAAGCACGTCTGATCTTTCCAAACAGAGATTAGAAATGTGTATGGGCAAGTAATAAATTTAAAAAAAAAGCAAGCATTTAACTTTTTAAACACTCTTATCAATTCAACATGTAGGTTTGGCACAAAATCAAAGAACTCTACACAACAGCTGCCTTCATTATCTTGTGTGCATACTGAGTAAGAAATTTCGACTCTAGAAGAGGCTGTTTCAGAAAGTAAAAAATACAGCTGCTCTATCTTCATAGGTCACTGCATTAAGGAAGTCATTTTAGAGAATTTTGTGGACTTTTTACTTTTTTGGTCTGCATTCACACACTGTAAGTAGATAAAATACCAAGTATATGATACTATACTTCCCAAATGTATTTGTAACTGCTACAGTAAGTCTTTAGATTCTAAAAGTTCCATTCTGCCAACGGACAGTGCCACCATTTCTCAAAGTACTGGTCTTACAGAGTAGCTGCCAGGTTGTTTGGCACAGTTATATAACTACTGCTGATAAAGTTCACCTTGCAGCCAGGAAATAACAGCCTTCAAGGATTCCCAAATACAAGGCTGGACTCTGACAGTAAATTTGTTCCTGTGTTCACCTGTAATTTAAGGTAAAGAAACTGTCTAAGCTAAAATAAGATGTACACTGAGTACCACAGGTGACTGAAGACTCGTTTTATAATCTAAGAGAGAGAAATTTTATTACTGTTTTTTGGAAGAGACAATAATGCCAGATACATAGTTCATTCTCAGAAATATTCATTATATTTGTGCATTGATGACCTACGCCCTGATCTGATGACTGGATATTTTATGAATACACAGCTCATAAGCTTTACGAATACATTCATTTGGACCCCAGTAAGATCGTGACTATGGCTTACACAGCTTCTCCTTTTCTCTGGAATAACCTTTGTTCTGTGTCTCCCAAGCACGAATACATTCGTAGATGTGGTGTATACATACATGTATATGTGTGTATACATAGATGTTACATTCTTTTTATGTACTCAAGCATCAATATGAATCTCACCTGCTCTGTAAAGGTACTCTTTCACTTTCCTTTCCTAGATAATCAACCTCTTTTTCCTACACCCTTTCTATGTTCCCTCTGTGCCCAGTTCAGATACCTGTTATAAATTTTAACTACTTTGTTTAATTGACTTCTTTTTGGCAATAAGTTTCAGGGAAGACTTGCCATGTTATTCATCTTTGTTTACCTTCAAGTTATCTCACTACTATATGCCACTGCTGAAAAAGTATAGGTTGCACTTGCTAGGAGTTCTCAGTATGATCAGACTCCTAATAAATGTGGTATGTGGCACCTCATACAAGATAAGAGATTATTTTCAGTGGCAAATGGGCTTTGGACTCTTAAGAGAATGTTAAAAAGTGAAATGGATTTTGTTTCCCTTCTTCTGATTCTGTAACTTTCCTTTACTCCTCAGATACCCAGTCTTCACATGCCATTAGGAATTCAAAATGTGCCATTCCCAGAAAAGCCTCATGACCCTCTATTTTCTTTCTAGTGCTCTTCTCATTCCATCCCCCTCCCCTGTGAAGACTCCTTTTACTTAAAAGTAGTACTTTACTTACTAATGCTGGGCTTTGGTTAGATAAGCTGAACCAAGTAATTTATATTGCAGAAAAAGGTACAAATTATTGGTGCATTATGTGATATCAATAAGATATTCTGAGACAATTTGCAGACTTCTAGGGAGATATTATTATTCACTCTGACCTTGAATTACTAAACTTAAAGCTATCTCTTTAACTCTTACTTTGGCTTCTAGGGTAGGGAAATGTATCCCTGAGATGAGGCTTTTATGCCCTTTGGGCCCAATATTGTGAAAAAGGAAGAAAAAGCTATCTGGATTTGCCTAGACAAAGTGACCAGAGACTACTAATTTATGAGTCAGTATAGTCTTTATTTGGCACTAATATCTAGATTCTTTTTTATGTCCTTGGTATTTTTATATATCCTAATGAACCCTCTTTGTTGTAAAAGCAAGTTTAATAGATAATTCATAAGTTCCATTAGAGTTGTTTGTTTGGGGTGCAAAGTGTCTTCTGGATTAAACTGAGAACATTCAGAACTAATTTAGTTTGTTTGTTTTGACTAATTCATAAAGTAAACTTTATACCAGGTATATAGGAAAGGAAAAAAGACTGCTTTGTTCAGGTGTTTTGGACAAGTAAAAAGATAGAAAAGTCTTAAATAACTTATTTTCAAATTTTTGTTTTACATTCCATTGCAGGGTTACAACCACAGATTGGTTGTCTTCTATGCTGTAAAGATCAGTGACTAGTGACTGACATTGGGCCACTTAGCCTGATGGAGTTTACTGCCGCAGGATCCCAAATTGTTGAATACCTGTTCCATGAAGTGTTGGAAGCTTGGTTGACTGCAGTTATCAAATCAGTTGTTGCTCCTTACTTTACCACAGCAGTGCTTTTCTGCCTGGGTGAGTGCCTTACAATGCCCTCTGTGCTTCAACCATCCTAAAAAATTATTCATCTAAGTATAAGGACTTAATCCATTACCCTAATTTTGTAGCTTCATTCCCTCCTAAAATCCCTTTTAAGAGATGGTTATCTACAATCATTATTAGAATCTACTATTGGTTAATAGATTATGCTGAATGGATTTGGGTGTTCCCATCTTATTTAATATTCCTGTGATGACTCCTTTGGCTGCCTAACATTCCATAGTATGAATAGCATGCTTTATTTTACCAAGTCCACAGTATTGTACATTTAGTTTCTTACTAATATTGATTATTGATATTACAACTAATTTTCAGCAAACATTTAAATATTAACAATGCACTATCACCTGAATTTTGGTCCAAGCTTACTTTTTGATAATTTGAATAAAGTTTATATAAAGGTACTAATTGGAACACTAACAGAAAATGACCTTGATTAGATCATTAACTGGGGATAACCTTGTTGTCTAGTTATGAATTTACCACCATTTTGGCAACTAAAAAGATATTCTGAAGTTAAAAGAAAATTGCTTCTGTGAAAAGAATGTTTGTTTTGATTGAACTGACTACAGCTTGTGTCCAAGACTGCATTTACTGAACTTTTAACTGAACAAAACTCTTGGTTGGCAAGAATTGGTTTCCAGCTAGACATAGTCTTCTCTGAGAACTATGCAACAATATTTTTTTTTTTCCTCTCCATAACAGCCAAGTTCATTTTGACTAAAAAGTCAATGAACTGTAAAAAATGTAATCTCTACCCAATTCTAGTTTTTAAATTCTATCCTTCCTTGCCTCATCTTTTCCCTTAAACTCCCCCTAACCAAAGATCCCAGTAGGACACAATTTGGGCTCATACCTGAGTTGGTGGTCCCCAATTTGTAAATCAAAGACTTTTCCAAATAAATACTATAATTTTATTTTAGCACTGTCATGTTTTTCTATGTTGTCATCTTGATGTATTTGATCTTTTCAGTTCACTCTACCTGCAATCTTATTATTCTCAGAGTATTCTTTCAAAAATTTTCTTAGCAGATTGAACTACCAATCAACCTATGAGCAGAATTATCATTTTAATCATCTGTGTAATTCTGGGAGATTAGTGGGGTGTTCACAATGTATTAGTAAAATAAATGGGAAAAGTTATTTTCAAATAGGAAAAAAAATAGAAAATATTAAAGTCTATAATTTATATATAATATGTATTTATATTTTATATAATTTATATATTTATGTATAATATATATGAAAAGAGAGTCATTTTGTCTCCGTGTATCCATCTATCTACATCATCCATTGACTTGGCAGTGTTTAGAGAGGACTCTCCTCCCCTTGAAAAAGACCATATGCTTTACATACACCCTCCCAGAAGGTCAGAAAATAAGCATTTCCACAGACTACTGCTTTGCATAGGACTACTTATGTTGGAGCCAGGAAGCCTGCATTTAAGGACCCAAGGGGTGATGGGCCTTTTCTGCTGGATCAAGTGCTGGATACCACTTTCACTGCATTTCTGGCCTTAGCACAATCTGGAACAGACAGCCGGCTGGAGTGTGTTGGCACGTGTGTGCAGTTATACCATCTGTTTTGCTTTTTCAAGTCATCAATTTCCTCTACTTATGATCTCTCCCATCACTTAGTACAGTTAGGAAAAATATGTGCTCTGAGTATTTTGTCTTTAATTACTTTTGTAGATCTATTCAAAGGAAATTGTGCTGTAGTACGTGAGTAATGATAAAGTAAAATGTTACTGCGGAAAAAAAGCATAAATCATTAAAATTAAATATTTAAGCCTCATCTAATTAACAAGTCAATAGAAGTTGTGGTCTTGGCAGCCTCATGAACAGTCAAGAAAAAGGAACCCAAGTAGAAGTGTCTTTGACAGAGGCAGGGTCTGTTACGGTCCATTGCAAGCTTATTTTTTGTTAAGTATTTTAGATTTATGTTATAATCTTATGAGGCTATTTCTTCTACTCATATTATTTGAAATATTTAAGCACTAATGTGGACTACATCTATCTCTTTTGGAAGCTGGAAAATAATAGCTCCCTTGAGAGAAGAAGCACCATCTTTTATAATATCTAAAATAACTGGTATGACCTGAAAACATTTTGACATTTCAGAATGGATATATTTATGTTAAAGTAATAATTATATTTCTGTCATAGATGACACAAATGTAACTTCCACTCTGTGAGGGAATTTCCTCAAACCTCCTTGATTCTTTGCAAACAACTGCCAGATGGGTTGCATTATCATTCTTTTATAGGGAAAAAAAATCTGGGACAAAGACTCAGCTAGAAAAATGAGAAAAAGTAAAAAAGGACAACTATAAAATGAAATAAAAGGATCCATGCATATATTCTGGATCATGTAAGTGCCCATAGGAGTCCCCCTGTCACAGTAAACAAGTATTTGAACAGAATATTAATAAACTACCCACAGAACTGCCTGACAAAGAACTGATGTTTTGCTGAACATAATGTAATCTAATGAGTCTGTGGCAGAATTAGAAATACAACCTAAAATTTATGACAAAAATCATCAATTACCAGAAGCTGCTCCTCTCCACATCATGTTAATTTTATTATAAAGAATGCCTTGTGGCCACAAAAACTTAAATTAAATTACAAGGTGATGAAAATTCTGAAGGCAGTTAAATTTGTATTTTTCCATTTCTCGTGGAACCAAGAAAGAAATGAGAAAAAATACATTAAAATTCCTTAACTATTCTGACCATTCACTAGCAATTTAAATAAGAGTTTTACAATTTGACTTCAAACCTGAAGGCAATTACGTAATGCAAATGCAAATTTTGCAAATCCCTTCAGACAAATAGCAATACTTTCTTTACCTGTTGATATTTGTTGCAATAACTTAAACAAAACTGTTCTTTCATCTAATGAGGAAAGTTTATTAGATTCAAAACTGATTTATTCTACATCCCTCAGGTTTGTTTGCTATTTTTTTAATTTATTTTGCTCAGACTACATAAGACAAAAGAGCATGAATGGTTGTTATAAGATGCTTATAACTGATCAGCCTGGAAGTGATGCACATCCCTCCCATTCATGTTCTATTGAGCAAAACTCAACTAGATGGTCAAGCAAAAGTGTAAAAATGATGGCACAAGAGGGAGACAAAAATGTTAGTTTTTAACCATGAGAGAATCGATGCATTCTTCTAATGCCTGGAGAACTCTTGTTCTGTGATGGAGAACAAAGATCAACCAGAGTTGGTTTGGAAATTTAGGTAGTTAGAAATAAATATGATACACTAGAAGTGATGACTGATCAACAGAGGTTTAAAAAAGGGAGAATAGATAGTAGTCTGCAAAGAGGAGGTCAAAAACATGATTTCATATCCATAAAACTAAATGCTTGTGATCTGCTAAGGTATTTCTCATTCTGGGGTGCAGTAGTAATAGATTGCATTACACCTCCAACTATGCAGAGGCCAACCCATCCCTTCAAAACAGATACCAATTGAGTCTGGAATAGCCATGGAAGGAGATGCATTTGAATTTGGATCCTTCTTGTCTTGATGGTCTTTTGGGACTGCTACTTCTCTCTGCATTGTCATTAGATAGTTATAGATCTGTCTCCTCCACTAAATTGAAAATTCCACAGAAGCTAGGAGTGTATCTTAGTATTCTCTGTGTTCTTGGAATCTGGCCTCCCAAGAAATGAAACACAGTAGGAGTTTCCAAACTAAATTGAACTGATTCTGTAGGTCTGTTTATATGGTTTCCTCATTCTTAATAAAATATGACAGTTTTCAGTCTTCATAATTGCTAGCAGCATGTTTACAGAATTTGGATCATCAATATAAAAGAACTTCCAGATTTTATTATAATGTTACAATACTTATGGGGAAATAAGGTCTTACTACTCTAGTCTATTAAGCATCTTAAATAATTTAATAAAATATATATTTCCCTTTAAATAAATTTTAATAAAATTTCAAAAATAGAAAGGAATGCAGTGAACTGTCTCCCCGGTATCCAACAGTCCCAACCTCTGCTATCATTTTTACTTTTACTTTTCCTTTTTATTTTTAATATAAACCTGACCTATAGGCTTTGGCTTTCAAAAAGATTTTACTTCTCTGCCTTTCAACTTTATTTTTAGTAAAGTGGCATTGAGATTTACTTGGATATATATAATATTTTCATAAAGAAAAGTAAATTGGAAGGATTCATTGTGTGTGACAGCATATATATTAGTAATAAATTTAAGATACACTAAATCCTTGACAAGAACTTAAATTTAATATGAAAAGTTGTTCTTAATATAAGTTAATATCCACATTAAGTGATCATGCAAGGGACAGTCTAAGAGTAATAGCAGAAACAATACCAAACCCATTCCGTCTACTCAGAACAGGGATGATAACTAATCCATCGTTTTCTTTGGCATAACTAGAACACATTTGTGAATTAAATGAGAGGAGTGAATATCACTGTTTTGAGTCCCTTTTTGGTGCATGGAAAAGCATAAAAATCCCCAGTAAGCAAGACAATATGGGATGGACAGAATTTTGATATTTTAGATCTTAGGGGTTTAAAGTATTATTATTATTATTATAAAGCATTTTATTATCTATATCAGAGAAAGAATTACAAGTTCAGCAGAACCAAAAGGTAGATGGGGGGAAAAAAAGGAGGGAAAGGAGGAGGGAAAAGAATTTCTGTTTTTTTGTTGCACTAATTTGAATCAGTCATTCCTAGATTGGAAAACTCGAATCTGCCATTTACCAGTTAATGACATTGAACTTGGTTCTCAGTTTCTCATATAGAAAATGACAGGAATGCTTATTTAAAAAATGGAAAAATGCATTGCAAATTAAAAGTGTTAAAATAGTTGTTATTATTTTGAAACTACAATTATATTCTTTTAATTTAATTTACTTAAGTTACTAAATTCACTGAGAAGTCTAGTGTTAGAATCACAGTCCAGTACATGTGGCAGTTTTGTTAA